AATTTTGCTATTGGTTGATTTATTGTTTCAAAACAACATACTGATGTATGGTGTTAACAATAAGAAAATAGGGCATGCAGGAACTTTCAATACTACAAAACTTTTCAAAAAATCTAAAACAATTAAAAATTTTATTAAGAAAAGTAACAATTTAGCTACACTCTTAATTAGTCTTCAACTTCATTTGATAGTGAACGAGCTCAGACTAAATAACATAGAAAAATAGTGTTATCTATTGAAAGTGCTCTCAAGTGGAAATAAAAAATGATTATATTGCAGAAAGTAGAATGATGTGATACTTTAGGGGGCTTACAGTAGTTTTTAAAAAATGTTTTAAGCCAAAATCTTTGGTATACACTATCCCAAAATTCTGGTAGAAATTAAGCTAAAACCCTAAATGCTGATAATAACTCTCTTTCTTGATTGTAAATTACATTGAATGCTAAGTGGAATACTTCAAGAGACTTTGTCAACCCACTTTAATAAACAAATAAACTCTGTGGTACTTTTTGAGAGAACAAGGGATTTGGAGGACAGCTCGATATTTTCAGAGGTACTGGTCATATGGCAACCAGACTGGGTAGCTGGTATTTTCACATTGAGTCATGACTGTATACTAATTCTTCAGCTTGAGAATTGATAATCAGATGCAAACAAGAACAAAGAAAAGGAAATATAAAATTGTATTTATTGTTTATATTAGGGAAGCTTAAAACTTTCTAATATAAATTTAACTTGCTGGTATAGCTTTATTGTACCTTAATTTATTTCTTCCTACTGCGATTCCAACCTATTCCATTTACTTTCCTTTGAAAAGCACAGCAACTAACATTTTTGGTGTATATTTAATTTAGATCTTAAATTTCTCATTTTTATCTTTGTAGTTTCTGAAGAATGTTATTTTATGTGGAAAATAAGAAAAATTATGGTAACTGACTTATAAAGTGTTTTCATAAGGAAACAGAAGCTCATGTTTTAAATCAAACAGTCGGAGGACATTGTGGTGGCTTTATTGTATACTTTTAGTAGAATTAAGGAATAAATTTGGTAAGATTAACTGCATTTATGAGTTCTTAGAGTGATAAATCTTTGTCCCAGCTTATTTTTTAGCTGTTTTATTAGTTTATCAAAAGCACTTAGTTTTTAGTAAGAGTTGATTTTTTTGGTGGGGGTACTGGGATCGAACTCAGGACCTTGTGCTTGCAAGGCAGACAGTGAAACCACTGAGCTAAATCCCCGGCCAGTAGAAGTTGATTTTTGAAAATCACACACACACACACACACACACACACACCCACACACACACACGCACATATTCTACCTATGTATAAATTGGTTATATCTTTTGAAAGGCTAAAGGAAAAGACAAACATTTGTGATTGTTTCCTTTGCAAGGTATGCTGTATGATTGCTACATTTAAATACTATATTTGAAAGCCCACATTATTGCCACATGAGTAGAGTGACAGTTAAAACCATGATGGCCCAATGAGACCAGTTTCTATATTTAAAATTCAATTTAGCAAATTGACATTTTCTATTCCCTTTTCTAATGTTCCCAGTCCAACAGATCACTATTTTAAAGCAAAATACAAACCGTGCATTTATTTGCTTGTCATGAAGAATTAAACACGAAGATGAGATGCTGTGGCTATCACTTTTCATTAAAACCAGCTGCTGTGGTTTTAAAATGCAAAATGATAAAAATCAGCACAAACCCTGGGGGTTTCATTTATATACTGAATGAACCAGCTTGCTTTGAAAGAACACTTCTTCCCATTTAAAAAAAAACTTTTGAATGAACTTGCACATCTGATCATTTTATCTTTGTACTGCCCTGTGAGCTAGGAAAGACTAAAAATTATTTTCCTGGTGAGAAAATGGAGACAGAGGTTTACTTGATTTGTCTATCAGTGCCAGAGGTACTGTTAGAATGTCAGGCTTCTAGTTGTAAATGTCTGTGCCCTAGCCATACTCACTCCAGATCCACTGCAGTTCACTATTGCGGAGCTCTGCCCTGGTCTCAGTTCCATAATATAGCAATAATGTGCCCAAGTTGGATCCCACAGACCCCTGAGAACCCACGTGAAATACTTGAGAATGTTGTAGCTGCTATGGAAGCATTGAGGCTTGACATTTGTCACAGGGGCAGTAGCACTATGGAAATCCAGTAGTGAGCCTGTCCACCGAGAACTGGCTTACCGTTGTACTATTAGCGTTTTCTAAGTGTAAATTGAAGAAGGAAAAACAAACACAAAAGAAGAAACCAGCAGTGTAATAAACATGATGCTATGATTGCAGCACTTATTCTAGGGCAAAAGTCAATATTTCTTTGCTCTGTAAGGAAGTGAGTCCCTCCTTTAACCACCTGTCACATATACCTTAGTTCTTATTTGGGCTTTTTTGCCCAGTATAGGAACCAAATTAATGAAAGAGCTGATTAACAAGAAAAAAGGCATGTAGTCTTTATTAATTATAATGTACACAAGCATCTTCACAAAAAGTCTGAAGAAATGACCAAAGCATTTTGCTTTTTTTTGGTCTTGTTTTTTTGAGACAGGGTCTCCCTATGTAGTTGAGACTGACCTGGAACTCACTATGTAGCCCATGCTGGTCTCCAACTCACAGTGATCCTCCTGCCCCAGCCTCCTGAGTGCTGGGATTACAGGCATGTGCCACCACACCTGGCTTGCTTTTTTTTTTTTTTTTGACAGAAGAACAGTAAATCTCTGGAGACATGATAGGAACATGGATCTGGGGATTTTGGGGAGTAAATTCTGGGGATGTTGCTAAGATACGCCAGACAGGGAGTGCAGAAGAGAGGGAGATAAGGGTGACTTCAGAGTTAACTGCTCAGGTTCACTGTAGCCCCAGTCACCGGCCTCTGGTAATCAGGACTGATATTTTAGCTTTGGTGTGTGAAGGACATCTCTCCCAGAAGAATCTTTGTGGCTTGCTGCATGTAGAAAATGGCAGGCTGTCGCCCTTGCTGAAGTTACGGTTTGTCAAGTGGTATCAGCTTGAAATACTCAATATAGCAGTTCCTCATATTTTGAGATGATATGCCTTTAACTCCTTTGGCTCCTTAGTGTAGAAACTGGGTTTTAAACTGTGGATTAATACGTGAACTCTGTCAGAAAATCTGAGTATTTTAATGGATCTTTACAAACCCTAACTATTCTTTAATAACTACATCAAGTAGTACCAGCCCTTCCAAAGAGTTATACAATGTGGATGGCTTTTCAAAACTTCTTAGGAGCTTTGAAACAGAGCCCCAAACATTGGGTCTTAATTATTTACTATTTGTTCCATATGAATTAAGTTTTTCTTTTTAACGCTGTGACATGTCTAAAAGAAAGGGCAGAGGAATGTGGATTTCCTTTTCTTCTAACTATTTAATGAAAGCTTATTCTGTGCTAGGCAGCCATCCAACAAAAGTGGCTGCACTTTTCAGAGCTAATAGTCTAGTAAGTCAGGAATTAATTAACAAATGAGATGTCTTGGGAAATTCTTTGAAGAGATTGTTTGCAGTGCGGAAGGTGTCTGGCCATGGAACTGCTTACTCAGGAAGGTCAGTGAAAGCTTTCCTGGATGTTTCGAGTGAAGCAAGATCTAAGGGGTGAGAATGAATGTGAAGCTCCCAGATCTTTCCGTAATGCTCTTTCAGACTGAATTGTTTCCTGATTATATGCCCTCACACCACCCTGAGTTTTCCCTCTGTAATGAACTACAATATATTATTTTACACTTATGCATTGAATGCCATTTTTTCTCACTGAGCTATTGGTCCAATAGCTGGGCTCATATCTATTTTGCTCACCATAGTAGTTCCAGTATCTGTTTAAGCATCTGCCACAACATAGCTGTGCAGCCTTTTACTAGCTTCTTCCTTGTCTTATAAAGTCGAGGTGTGTCCTGACTCTCAGTTACCATGTATATGCAAATTCAAAAGTCAGAAAAGTAAGACAAGATGTAAAGTAGCTTAGTGACACAGAGTTCAGGAGAACCAGATTCATTTGATATAAATCAGGTGTAGTGGTGCTCTCTAGATGCAAGAAAGAAAAGGCTATTTGGAAAAAGGAAAACCTTACTCTAACTCATTCATCCTGTCTGAAGGAAATTCATTCCCTTTGTAAAATGGATTTTAAAATGGCTGTAGAGTTAAATATCTGGTGCTGAGTCTTAAAATTATTTTCTTGTGAAAAGTAAAAGAAAGGTGTGAATGAACACTTTCTCAAAAAAAAGAGATGAGTGCAAGTGTGTGCAGGATGTTGTCAAAAATACTTCAAAGGAAGGAAGAAAAAAGAGATGGAAGAAAGAAAAGAAAGGAAACTACATGTGAGAAAAAAGTTTGTAAACAATGGACTGGGCTGTTAAATGTTTATTTTATTTAACTCTATTTTTTTGGTGCTAGGGATTGAACCTATGGCCTCACGCATGCTAGTCATGTTCTCACATAGTTGTCTTTTTTTTGTACCAAGGATCGAACTCAGGACCTTGCGCTTGTGAGGCAGGCAGCAGAACCACTGCACTAAATCCCCTGGCCCCTCATGTAGTTGTCTTTAACAATAGGGTTCTAGATGATATTTTCCCTCCTTTATACTTCTATATATTTCTCAGTTTTTTAACTTAGCATATATTATTTTTAGAAGGAAATAAAAGACAACAAAATACCTATGGAGTTGATGATTATGACATTGGGCATGCTATAGAATTAAACCTATATACCTGGAAGACTCAAGACTATATTTTAGATTTTTTCTTTAGCTCACTTAAATTTGCATACAGTGTTAGTACATTACTGTTAAATACCGGTTGGATCTTTATTTATATGTCTATCTCTTCCTCTAGAGCCTGAGCTCTTTGAGGGTGGAGACCTTTATGTTTGCATTTCTAACGTCATTCATGGCAGTAACTCATATTTATTGAAATGAGTAACTTGAGACTAAGACATCATGGCCCTTACATTGCCTTTAACCTTTGTGTCTTTCTATTTTTAGAGCATAGAAGAGTGAGCCACGATGAATGGTCATATTTCTAACCATCCCAGTGGTTTTGGAATGTACCCATCTCAAATGAAGTAAGTTGAAAGGTTTGTAGTTAATTTGTTTTGAAGGAGTTGGACTTGGTAATTTTAATTTTTATATTTTTAATAAAAAGATTAAGCTGTATTTCTTTATGGAGTTCATTTCTCATTAATCCTTTTTATTACTAATCCATGTAATCATTAAAAGTTCACCATGTCTGGTAGGAATGAGATGGTTAAATAATATCAGTCCTTGTGATACAATCTCATAGTTACAAGATGCTTCAATTTGGTATTTTACATTTTATTGCTTTTTGTAGGTATATACTCTGCATCAGAGCTTTGAGTTTCTTTGGCACATTCTGATGTTGTTTGTAAAATATTGCTATTTGAGAAAGGTTACATGTCAGCCCAGACCTTTAAGATATTTACCACTTTGTAAAACACAACACAACAAAACAAAAATCAGGCAAACAATATTTCCGGTGGTTCCATATATAACTTGAAATCAAAGCTTTGACACAAGTGGTCGACGTCTTCTACATTGGGATAATGTTATTTGATATTGGCCATTGTGGTACACATTTCACTCATTATTTCAGGACATATGATATTCACTGTGTTTAGGGAAAGAAAATTTAATTCTTAAGCATGTGAATAGTCCCTGCTCCACCTCTACTTCTCCAGTCATTCATTGATTCTGGGCACTTTGCCCTAAATGCAGTTTCCCTCAGATACCATGCAGCGTCTCCAGCCATTTTCACATGTCTTACCCTCACTTCTCCACCTGCCTATTGAGCTTCTTTCCAATCTTTTGGATTCTGCTTAAATGTCAACTTGTTGGTGAAGCCTTCTTGGATATGCTGCTAAAAAGTTAATCCTTGGGCTGGGGATTTAGCTTAGTGGTTCCTCTGCCTGCCTTGCAAGCACAGGGTCCCAAGTTCGATCCATGGTACCAAAAAAAAAAGTTGATCCTTCCCTGATCTTACATGTTTCATCTATGAGGTTTCTACCCAGATACCACATTCTGTTGTAGCTATTTTGCTACTTGTCTCATTGACAGTCTCCCCCTTCTCCATCCTTTATTCTAGGTATCAGAGCTTAATAAATGAATAAAATACAAATGTATCAGTATTTACTTTGCATAACATATTAATAACAGGAGGCAAAGACATAGGGTAAACTGGGTCAAATTCAATGAAAGGTGGTAGGTAGACTAAATATGTATAAAACGTGTCAATTCCATTGCACTTTAAATCCCTGGGAATGGATAATATCTGTATCGTCACGCATAACTGGATTGGGCAAATTTACACTTTCCTAGGATAGTTCCAACCTTGCTGAGTCCCCTTGGCTACAGTCTCAATTGGCTTTGGAGAGGACTCTGTGATTTGCCCCAACCTCCAATCTTACTGGAGTCATATGGTTTACTTTGTATTTATTCTCCACCTGAGCAGGATCTTGCTCATTTTGGCGAACTCAATATAAATTCAGTATGTTTTCTTCAAAACACACAGCACAGTACATTGGAATTTTTATTTTCTAATTCTGAATTTTTATTACTTCTTTTGGACTTTAACCCAACACAGTGACCATGTTTAATTGCAGTGGCTACGGCTCATCACCCACCTATTCCCAGATGGACAGAGAACACAGTTCAAAGACAAGTGCAAAGGCCCTTTATGGTATGTCTGTTTATTTCATTTCTGCTTTTCACCACTTTTTATGAATTCATACTTTCAAAATCATATTTCAAACCCATACCTTATGTTTATTATTTGAAGTGAAGTAGTGACAGTTAGGTAAAGATTACTTTTAAAGTTTTCACAGAAGCTTCCAAAGCTGTGGGCTGTTTCTCTGTCATACTGTTTGGAAGATAAAATGTATTGCAGTGGTTTCAGAACTCTTTTGCATGGCACCATATCAGTGCCTCTAGTTGAGTTTTTCCATTTGCTATTTGCTGTATATTTGCTGATTTTGTGATTGATCCAGTTGATTATGGGCTGACTGATAACAAAACTTTTTCCTTATAGCTCTTGAACTTTAAGTATTACTACAGCATGATACACACAATATAATTTCCTTCTGCACTATAAAAGTCAAGCTTTTTCTTTGATCTGTCTCTAACTTTCAGTACTCACTCAAGTTTGTCTTATGTGTACATAATTTTTAAAACTTCAGATACAGGTATAAAGTAGGTAGAAGTTACTATAAGGAAATTGAGGATCCTTGGAATATATTACATACATTTAAGAAGGTACTAATCTGTTCAGGGTCTCAATAGCCTGTTACTATTGTTGAACAATAAGGAGTTAGGATGATGTTATGGTTAATGGAAAAGACTAGAAGTAGACTTCCAAGGTTTAAATCCAGTTCTACCACATATTAGCTCATGGGCAAATTACTCTATCAGTCTCTACCTGGTTTTGCTGATCTCTGTAGTGGTGCTTTCTGGTAGCACTGATACGGGAATTAGAGTTAGTAAGTGTGAAATGCTTAAAACAGTGGTTGGCAAGCAGAACACACTATGTATTTACTGCTTTGTTAAGATTATTATTATAATACTATAGCTACTATAGGAAGCAGCAACATTTTGCAATTCTTTTTTATATTATCCTGATTTATAACTTTGTTACTCTGATAAGAGTGATTAATGATTAATTTTAAACATTTGTGGTTTGTTTTTTGCCCTACATTTATAAACCATGAAATGAATTTAATGCTGCACTAGAATATACAGTATATGTTTATGGCTCTGTCAGTCTGATTAGTATTTTCAATTTTCTTGAATATCATATGGAGACATTCTCATCATGTCAGCCTAGGCAGATGTATTCAATAAATACTTGCTTTGTAACTAACGTATTCAGAACAGCACCATTGACACCTATCTAATCCCTGATTTTAAGGGAACTCATAGTCTGCATGACTTGAAGAAAATGATAATAAAAAAAACTGTGAGAATAAAGTCAGAATTTCCTTCATCCTTCATTTCTAGACCAACATTTATTAAGTGTATCGGGGTCCTAGGCCATGATATCTAAGTTTCTGTTTCCAAGTTCTTTCATTGATTTCAAGGATAAGTGATTGTAATTGCTTATGTGCCATTTTGTGAATCAGTCTAATACATGCATCGTCATCATTAAGGGCTGACCATGCTTGGACAGCAGTGTGCACCGGGACGGGAGTGGGCAGCTCTTTTAAGAGGGGGGATGGTGAGCAGCAGGGATTTCCCAGAGGGCTGTGGCTGGAACTGAGCTCTGAAAGGTAAGCTGTGTTCTGCAGACGCTTGGTGGAAGGATTCGGTAACCAGCAGAGCAAAACCTCCCAAAGCTAGCCTCTTGGCTGTGTGCAAGTGGCCCACATTTGTCTTGTTCACTTCAGGGTTGGCTATGCTTTTTAGCACAATGGCTAATGCATAATTTATGCTCAGTAACCACTTGTAGAATGAATGTAAAGAATTAATGAACTACAAGCACTTTGGTGTTAACTTGGGAGCAAAGGCAATCTGCTGGGAAATAAGATTGGAAAAATGTACACAAAACATAATAGAGACTCCCACTAATGGACTCGGACATTATTTATGAGTAACAAGCAGCTTTTAATGCGTTTACATCAAGGGAGTGAAGTTTATCTTGGGTCATTTATAGCAAAATTGAAAATGGATTTGATAAGTACAAATGGAAGCAGGTGAATCAGATTTAAGAAATAGAGACAAATTAGTTATCTAATAACTCTAAAAATTCTTCTTAAGTAATAATTAATTCTCTCATAAAAGCACAGGTCCCAAAGTCTATTTTCAGAGACCTAAGAAAAAAATGATGATGAAAAATAGAACTTATGCTGGGGCATGGTGGCACATGCCTGTCATCCCAGAGATGTGAGTTCGAGACCAGCCTTGGCTACATAGTGAGTTCCAGGTCAGTTTCAATAACATAGTGAGACCCTGTCTCAAAAAAACAAAACAAAACAAAACAAAACAAAAAAAACAGAACTTATAAATTTTAATTTTTTGTGTGGTTTTTGTGAGTGCAACTTTATAAAATCTTATATCCAAGAATTAAAAATCTTACTGTTAAGTAGTAAATTTTTATTTTCCTGCCTTTTATATGCAAAGCAATCCAGGCCCCTTTTTGCAGTTAAACTTTTATCAGAGTCACAAATACTTTAGAAAAATAATTATAAGAAAATATGACAAATTTTGTATAGTGGTATGAAAATCAATAGTGTATAGGTAAAACAGAAGATGCAAAGAGTGAAATGGGAAGGGGCAACTCAAAAAGGCATTTATGAGGAAGAAAAGGCAACAATATGTGGGGCCTAGGAGATGGCTTCAAGTTCCTTGAAGTGGTGTATATCATTCCATGCCTGTTTGTGTCTAACATTCCTCTCTCCCTCCTGACCTTCTGTACACACACATGTGCCCACACACACATATACGTGGTGCCTTCTCTCTTACAGATTACATGTTAACAGTGTCTGTTGAGTGTATAGATGGATCAGTGACAGTGAAAAATACATTCATATCTCGAACAAACTTTTGCAATACATTCTAGCTGAATTCTTTTATTTAGCTTTGGGAGTGTGTAGTACCCGTCTACATGCACACTTTTAACTTACTGTTTCAACTGAAAATCTGATGGAGAGAGAGTTTATTTCCTTATGATTCACGAATCTTCTTTAAAAAATTCTCCTTTCCCAACTATTAACTTGCTGAATAAATCTAAGAATTAATCTGTCTTTGTGGGTATCACGTGACCTGCGTAATAGGAGGACACTGTCTCGTTTTCCTGATGAAGGTCCCAGTATCTCCAGCGAGATGCTGTACCAGAGGGTCCCTGCAGCTCGTCGCTTTCCCGAGAACACTTTTCAGGTGGGACGCATTGCTTCTAGTCAGTGTACTCACAAAGGCGTCGTGGATTAGAGGCTCCCCCACCAAAATGACTTCACCTCTTGGCTCCTATTTCTGCATCTGTAAAATAGAAATGATGGTGACACTATAGCAAGTTTGTCAGAGCAAACATAAACAATGACCCTGTCATGGGAATGGAAAGGGTACTGGAGAGTCACTTTCTGTCCTGTGTTCTCAGATTCATCAAAACCCTCAAATTTAGCATTTTGATATTATATGATGATATATAGATTCTATTAGAGAAATAAGCATGGTGATACTTTGACCAGATTGAGAGATAGCCTTCATCACATATTTTAAAGCTTATTACTCATGACAGCATGCTAGAAAAAATATTTAAATGAATCCTCTAAATTGTATTGTGTCTTACATGACAATAAAACCTTTTTTTGGGGGGGGATGTGTTAACGATTAAAGGAAAATAGTTAAAATATGCTGCAGCTTTCATAACCATTTTGTCATTTCTTTGTTATTATACAAGAAATCTCCAAGCCTGCATGTGAAAGGCTCTGTGTCACTACATCTCTGACAAAGTGTAGCTCTTACTTGGGAAAATAATGCTCATTTCTTTCTCTTCTATTTATCTCATGACAGTAAGATTTCATGTAGCTACTGGTGTTAGGAAACTGAGATTTCATGTATATCTCTCCAGCTAATGTTTGTGAAAGTCTTGAAGCAGTAAAATTTGAAAACTTTAAAAAGTGAAATCCTTATCAAGCATATCAAATATTCATTTCTCTCTGGGTGTGACGCCTGCAAATGCTTGTTGGTGACTCAGGGTCGTGGGTGCACCTGGTGCTTGTGTTGCTGTGCTTTTCTCAGAATCCGTGTCACTTACCTTTGACCAGTTCATTCTGGATTTCATCCTTTTTGGATATTTGGGTCTGCTCTTTCCATGAGGCTGGATCCTAAACCTGTTGGCTCTCCCTGTTATTAACATGCCTGCTCTAGTTTTGCTTCCAGGATTTGTGGACTAAGAAACTATGCACAAAATATGGTTAGTAAATAGGTTCTGAATGTAAAATTGAGAATCTTTCTCATTACAGCATTTATGTTACAGGATTTCAAAGGGCGATGCGGATGATTTATTTTATTTAAGTCAGCTGTTCTGAATAGCTGACCTTTCTAAAAAAAAGTAACTTTTAAATTAGATTTTGCAAAACTTAGAATATGGCCAATTATGATAAATGCTTAAAACTATTTATCTTCTCCAGAAGAACTACAGTTTAATGGAATTGCTAATTAGTAATCTTTTGTTATAATTACTGTCACATTGATATTTATATTATCAAAAGGCCTAATAATGTTGGATAAATATAAAAAGCACTCTCCCAAGTCTTTTTTTTTTTTTTTTTTTTTTTTTTTTTTTT